ATAGTCCACTCTGAATGAGGGAGATTTTGCCATATTGCTTAGAGGTAGGCTTAGACATAATTAACTAGGATGATTTAGGTGAGATCATGATATGTAGATTGTCCTCCATGAGCTTATAGGTTTAGTCTGGGGCATTGACCTGTCATGTGTTACGGACCCTCTTGATCGTTCGATTCAAGATCCGGACTAGATTCAGCTTGATCCCTTGAGGATCATCATCTGTTACCATTGATAACAGGTCGGTTGCCGATTCATCGGTCTACGACTCTATTCCAACTCACCCTCCCCACTTAACCTAAAAGGTTTTGGCCCTGGTGATTTCATTGTTTCATTACGGTTTCACCCGGACTTTTATTGAATGATCATTTAACAAAGGTACTGAGTATTTGATTTAAGGTTGGTTGGACAGGAGGTTGGGGCTTGCATGGCTAAAGCGAGGGGTGGGAATGCAAAGATTGGTTGGGGTTGACTCTGTGTAGTGCGTGGGTTGTTGCTTGACTCTTTGATGTGATTGCAGGTATGTGATGTGGCTTAGATCCTAGATTTGTCTGCCTGCGATCACATATATACGTATGGTTGTAAGGAACCCCACTGAGACTGTGAGGAGTGATCGCCACATACTTACCCCTTTATATATGTATACATGGGTGTACTTGGGATGAATGTCTGCATAGGGCTAAGGGGGCCCGTACTAAAAAGCCTACTTAGAGGTTAAGACTGAGAGGAATAGGGAAGACCCTTCCTTTTATTTTTATTTTTCTTCTTGGGGGGTTTCTTAGTCGGACATTGATCCTGGGCTGAGATTCAAGGTCCTTTTCCAGGACATCCCAAGCCTTAGGCTCTGCAGGGGAGGGATTCCCCCCTCGCACAGAGCCTATTTGCATTGCCCGTCGAGGCACCCCACCCTGAAGGAGGAAATGTCGCGAGGGCTGAACGACATGTCCTTCAGCCGTTCAATATCGTGTGAGGTAACCCCGCACGATATATTCCTTCAGCCATTCAATATCGCGAGGCCTGAGCCGCGATTACCACGTATGGTTGGCATCGTTGGTTGGCATGAGACTGGCCCGCAGCTGCGGGGCTTTATATTAGAATCTCACGCGCGACATTTCGCCGCCCTAGTGTCTAACAGTTATGGGATCAAAAGGGACCCGCACATACGCGCGAACGCTTGGGATTACTACAGGCCGCTAACACTACCCGAAAAGGGAAGAGTACCCCAAGGTTTTGTTTCCGTTTAGGGGAAAGGGGACCTTCGGCCTATTTGTGCTTTTTAAGATTTATAGTTGGACGTTGTAGTCCGTGGCAGCCGTCAAAGTCAAACCCCTTGACCTCTGCCCAGGCCTGGAGAGGGGCTCATCTCTGGGGCAGTAAGAAACGACTGCCACCACAGGTATGGACCTGTGTACCACCCGCTCTGCACAGAGTGCAGAAGAGGGTGTGTGGTCTTCAACCGCGCTGGGCAGTTGTCCAACGTCGAGAGATTAACCCTCAAGGCGAGTGTCAGCCGACACTTGAGTGTCGAATGCGACCCTCGAGATTAACGAGGACCGCATGAGTATGGGTACTACATGGTACGCCATCATTGCGACTGCTTGCGTACGTTTGCATTGCTAGTCGATATGAGTAGGCCCTGCATCCGCGCGGT